TATGTTTATTAATGATGTTGGGGTAGAGGGTGTCACATAACATTTCTTGTAGTGCCAGCATAAATATAAGTTGTACAATAGTTGATCGATCCATAGACATTTTACTTGTCAAATAGAATCTGAAGAAAAAAATGATCAATACATTGGTTGTTGTCTTGTGTTTGATGATTGGCGGTGTTAGCCATGTAATTTATGGTATTCAAAATACACTCAAAGAAGATATAGAGCTGGAAAAACAATTAAAGCTCATTAACAAACCTCCTATCAAGAGTATTCATGTATTCTATAGCCTTCTTATATATCATCATATATATCCTTTTGTTGGACTCGGTCTCACTAAGTGCTTTAATAATTTTATTTATATTTGTTGTATTTTGGATTCTACAGACAGAATTTGGGTATATTGTTGATTGCATTGATATAAACAAGCAACCAGCATTTGACCATCCTTTACTGAAAAATCATAAGTTGCAAGTATACACTCCTTTAAATTGCCTCAAATATGGTCAACTTTCAAGCTTTCCTTGATTATATTTCCTCTTAGTTTTAATATTTGTTTTCTATTTCTTTTATTATAGAGAAAACCCAACTTTGGAAAAACAAATGCGAAGACTTCACCAACTAGATCCATATTTGGGCTTGATAAGAACAAATGTCCTTCAGGGACGGTTCCTATTCGGAGAACCACAAAGGATGATCTAATTCGAGAAAAATTATTATTAAATGATGATATCATGATGCAAAACGCTCCTGGTATTCACGTAAGTGCTCTTGTAAAACTAAATTTTAAATGTTCACATTTTTTTTTTATAAATTACCTCAAATCTAAGAGTTAATAGGATGAATTTCGTAGCTTGCAGAAGTATCTCTTCCATCGAATTATGCTCCTTATTATGCAGTCAGTGGAACAACTAGCATATATAATCCAAGAGTTAATAGGAAAGATCAAATCTCCCTTTCAAATTTATGGGTTCAGAATGGACAAGGAGATACTGGGAACAAAATCTCAGTTGGTTGGCATGTGAGTTTTAATTGCTACAATTTTGTTTATTTTTCAAAATATTGGAGTGTAATATGAAAAATATTACACTTTAATACAAAATATTTATACTCGAGTTATTTAATTTGTGTCATTTTGATGATATAGAAAATTATACCTAATTAATCTCACACATTAAAATCAGGTGCTTCCATATTTATATGGTGATGATGCAACCTATATTTACTCGACATGGACGGTAAGGAAAGAAGTCATTACATTTTTTTTATAAAATAACTTGGCTTATAAAATATATATATAGAGGAGGGTTCAAACGACACCGGTGTAACTTTTACTAAGTGTTACACCGCTTAATAACTTTATATTAAATGTGAATTTTGAAAATCCAACCGTTAGATTGAAAGTTCATATCTCTTAGATCATATATGTCAAATTTTATATTAATCTAAGATGATTTGATACTTCATTTTCATATAAAAAAATTGACGTAATATATACATTTCAAAATATACTAAAATATGAACACTTTGATTACCTTCAAGTTGTTGTTCAATTTTAACAAAATTTAACATATATGATCTAAGATATATGAACTTTCAATCTAACGGTTGGATTTTCAAAATTCACATTTAATATAAAGTTATTGAGCGGTGTAACACTTAGTAAAAGTTACACCGGTGT